TTTAAGGAGATTGTAAGGGCATAAAACACATATATTAATAATTATGATTTAAACAAACTACATATATGTGAAAGTTGTGTTCATAACATTCTGGTTTTATTGAGCAACACATTTTTATAGATTATTTATTTTATTTGTTATTAGTTTTATTGTTATAAACAAAAATTGTTAAAGTAATGAGAAAAAAATCTAAATATTTTTATATAAATATATCAAATACTAAACATGACTTATGATGCAAAGTTTCATCGAGATTCACCATTAGTTTATAACGAATAACAAATTTTATTTATTTACCGAACAATTAGTGTCTGCATCTCAAGGTAACTTCATATAAATATTGTTGAATTCGTTAAGTATTTATATAAAAAAGAATGAGATTTTTCATTATTTTATAATACATTTTCATATATTTATATTAAAGTACAAATTAAAAAAATATTACTACTTATTTAAATAACTTTTGATCCATATTATCAACTGTCTCTATTTTTTTGGTATTATTATTAAATGCAATTTAGAACATAATTTATGAGTAAGTAAACAAATAATGTAGTTTTAAAACGTAAATTTTATAATAAATAAATAAAAATTGAATTTACATGTTAACTGAACATATTATAAATGTTAATTTTACTGAAGAAATTTGTTTTCACAATATGTTAATTCCACATTATATTAAAACGTTAATTTTTATATTAATTTTTGCATAATTGTTACTTCCTAACATATGCATCTTGTGTTAAATTAATACAAAAATTTGGATAGACCATTTAAGACACGTGAAATGTGTTAAATTTAACACAAATTGCCCAACTGTGTGATCTTAAGTGATTTCCTTTAGTAAGAGTGCTGCAAAGAAAGAGTGATATATTTTAAAATAACGTTGCAAACCTTAATAGCGGTTGTATTATCGCTATAAACGTATATAATTAGGAAACTTTTTGTATTTAATAACTCACAGTATAATATATTCGAAACTCTGATGAGATATGGATATACGCGAATGAATTCAATATATATAAATATATATCGCGTATGTATAATATCGCGATCCATTGTTGAAAGCTCGGTGCACATATAGTAGAATCCGCGGGTTCTGGAGGAATTCCGAATAGCCGATCCATGGTCCCAGGGGCTCCAAAATCTTTGCCAGGTGTGCGGGAACAGCTGCTCTCTCTCTCACCGCGTTGGGGATACGTGCAAAACTTCTTTCTATACGCGCTGGCACGAGATGCATTTTATTTAAAGATGACGAATGCGAAATAGATTTATTGCCGTTACCCGAGCAAGGCGCATTTCGCCAGCCGTTCTCCATCATTTTTCTTTCCAATAGTAATGATACAGTTGCATTGCGAATTATTTGTATTTTTATAAATCACGAAATGTGTAAAAATATCTATAATATTGATACTAATTATTAACTTGAATTTAATAATATTTATTCATAAAACACTATAATAATTTTGTAAGATCAATGAGTCGTATAAAATTAAAATTTTTTATACAAAGTACATCACATTAAATTTAATAAGCACTTTTTGTCCTATTAAATATATATTTTAATATCTTTTTTAACCTATCTTTCCTCATTTTCCTATTTACAGAACATTTTTTAAATTTATTTCTCTATATGTGTGTATATAGCATTTTTTCATTTTTTCCCTACATATGTGTACATATAGGTATAATCCATGTATATCAAAAAATTAAAAAAATGCTATTCTACAAATAGGACGGTGGGAAGAAATGAGTAGAAGTAATAATAAGAAATTGACTAATTTTTTATAAAAGAGATTAAAGAGATTAAGAGGTCTTTCAAAAACGAACGGTTCACTCAGTGAAAAAAAAAAAAATCTCAATGACTATTGCGCTGTGGTACTGTGGACGAAAGAAGATTTTCGAATCTAAATATAAATTTACGAATGTTCCTAGAATACGAATAATGGAATCCATCGATCCCCGAAGTTGAGCACGAAAACCATCGCGTAACCTGTTTCGTTTACCAGCTGGTACGGTCTCTTCCGGTACAGGAAACGTACGGTTGCTTCGGAAAGTGCCTAATCGTGTCTACCAGACGAAACTGCGACGACTCTGAGGGAAATCACTGTAAATCGAATCGAGTTACACACCGTTAGTTTAAGGAGATAGAGAGAAACAGCAATATATTTTCATATCCTGAATATAACTATATCGAACGAGTTGATGACGCAGTTTACCAAATAATTAAACCAAGCCAACCGATTACAGCAAAGCCAAAATCCTACAAATAGTAATTCTACCAATATTACGCGCGAAATCGAGCGACAGTGTTACGTGATGATACATTACGAGACGCGCTTTTCCATCTATTTGCAATGTCGTTTTCTACGCGAGATGTAACTTTCGCAACACAACCGCAACCACGATTCTATCCAGCGCCGCGTTGCCGGAAACCTAATAACATCGACCACATCTAACGTGTCCACGTCTGCACAGTCAAATCTTACTTTCTCGCTCGCAGGCGCACCTTTTTCATTCGCGAATTTCTCCTTCCTTTTTCGCTCTCACTTTCTACAAATACGAGCGAACGCATTGCATCGCAGTAAACGGGAAGTCCTGTTCAGACTCGTGTAAAGTTGGCCCTCAACTTTTGAAAAAATTAATTTTCTGTAGCTGATTCGAAATTTTCTCTTACTCATCGCGTTTGCACATATATGCACATTTTGAATTTTTGTTTGCATACTTCTGGTCAAAAAGTTATTTAAAATTATTACAATTTTGAGAATTTAATTTTACCCCCTAGTCCTCCCAACCACGAGTGAATTAGATTTAACTAGACTTAATCGATAGATTTTTCCGTTTGCACATTCCGAAACAAGTCAATTTTTCGTTTACATCCTTTAGTTAAAAAGTTATTATTGAAAAAAATGTTATTACTAAATAAATGTTGAAGATTCAACTTTACCAGAAATACGTTATCGTCTTGAATTCAAAAGAAACAAGTTTGTTATAACTTTTTAGTTAAAAAGTTATTAACAATTAAAGTATCGAGGACAGTCGACTCAGGTAAATAAGTTTAAATCGCAGTTACTATACTCAAAATCATGGTGATGAATTTATCTACTTGATTCGACCGTTCTCGAAACTTTAATTGTTAATAATTTTTTAACTAAAGGTTTTTTTTAACTTTAAATCTAGTTTGCTCGTGGTTGAGGTTAGGGGCTAATGTGAAGTTAGCTCCCTCAGAATTATTTTTTTCAATAACTTTTACACCAGAAGTGTGCGAACGAAAATCCAAAATGTGCATACGTGTGCAAAACGATGAGCAATCGAAGTGAGTTGGAACAAACAGTTAATTTTGTAAAAAGTTGGAGGTCCAACTTCACACGGGTCCTGCCCTGTTCAGAGTTAGACTTTTGAGAACTTTGCGTGACTAATCTCGTTCAGCCCTTTTCGTCCTCTCTCTGCGCCTGTGTGTACATACACACGTGTGCATGCATGCAATTAATTTACAATCGTTATTTTCTTTTAGTTTACTTACGCGAAAATAACGGGATTTGAGGAACGCGTCGTAATTGTGTTGCGCTTCTATTTTATTAGTCGATAATTTTGAGGAAATTGCAGGCGTAGACAGGAAGCTTATTAAAGTTAACAATGTCGTTATTAAATCGCTAATTATATTATTATAATATATTATGTCTGGAACAAGCGAGAGAATGTGCTCTTTTTCCGCCGTAACTTGGACACGTTCCGAAAGAAAAAGCGACGCAACGTACGAGTTCCGTGGAAATGCATTTCGCGCTGAGCACATCGCGTTGCCGCATCTGCAGTCTAAGGTCGTTGATGCGACAGTAGGCAGACAGGCCAGGCCAGGCCAGGCAAGCAGGCGGCCTGCAGTCCCCAGAGTAAGATCGTTGTACGTCGCTGAATGGGCTCTTTGTGTCGGCCTGACGATGATGCGAACCGTGGCTATGGCGCCGACGCCGGGGTTTCTCCAGGCCTTTCCTTCAGGCCTCTCCTCGAGACCTCGAGTGTATCGGCGGCGATCGAGAATGGCGAGCGGTCGGCAGAGAAGGGTTAAGCCGTTAGTCGAACCGGTGCCGAATTGACCCCGCCCGAGTGCATTAGACGATGCTGATGGTCGACGTTGCAGTCTCCGCGAGAGACCGTACCGATTCCGTCCTCGTGCGTCGTAACGCGCGATACGGTCTCGCATTATTACGGAACGACGATCAACAGCTGTCGCGTGGCCACCACGTATGGGGTGCGAGAGGGGAGGTAGAAAGGGTCTGGCCAGACTGGATCTGCACGAGAGCTACCACCTGGCCCCGGCACAGACCACCAGGCTTCCATTACCACGTGGCGGTTTTAGAGAGAGAGAGAGAGAGAGAGAGAGAGAGAGAGAGAGAGAGCGAGCGAGCGAGCGAGCGAGAGCAGAGAATATATATATTATGCACAAGACGATTAAGGATGCGGACGTGTATCAACCGTTCCTCTAATTCTAATACAATATATATCCTACATCGTCGTTATTTTTCGAGAGATAACAGATAACAGTTATGCGGTTTTTTCACGGATGATAAATTCTCAATTTCTACTTTTGGCCTCAAAACGAAGTGAGTACAGATTTACTGAGGAATTTATTAAAATATAATGTGCGGAAAACGAGGTATTACGGGAGATACATGAATATGCGCGTGCGCGGGCGGATATGAGACAAAAATCACGTTATGCATGTAAATATGTCAGATTAAATACTAATATAACTGTCATGCCATCCTCGTATACGCAGGGGAGCGGTATACTATATATATATATATATATATTTGCGCAGAGTTATCCGCCAAACATACTTTATCCGATTAAACGGCCGCTAAAATTCGTAATGGTGCCTTGGAAATGGTATGCAGTATTTTTGCATCGTATCTTGCGCCAAGGAGGGAACGAGGCGGTGAAGGATAGGATGGATCGATCCATAAACAAACTCGACGGTAGCCAAAGAGACGACTCACGTGATACTGCGTTCGATTGATGTCTTTTGCAAATAATATTCGGTATGCAACGAGAATATATGACATCTTATTAGATTAAATCTCTTTTTTTATTCACTTGAGAAATTCTTCCTCCTGTCATAAAATACCGTTAACGCCGTTACAATGCATTGCAATAATTGTATTTAAATTTGAGGCTATTAAAATTTTATGCGATTTTTTTCTCTCTTCTCAATTACAATCTTCTCCAAGCATATTGGTCACGTTGCCGTCAGCATCTAACATCGGTTCGTGTCTCATCAATCTGTAGCGATTGTCGAGATGAATGGCCGGCTTCCATTCTTTCAACTGAATCAACTGAAACAGATACAAGAGAAATATTTTTAAAAACGTAAATATTGTAAAGAACTTATTTTCACATAATATCTTAACCCTCAATCGGCAATGAGAATTTCACCCTTTGTCCACAATCTGATTTTCAAACTTTGGCGTTAATTTTTATTTTGTTCCAGACTATATATATACATATATAAAAATCTGAAAAAATTCTTATATATTGCTTGTGAAAGTTTTAACAGAGTGAGTTTTTATTAAATGTTGGATTGTATAATAGTTTACTAATTTTTTACTTATTTTTTAAAATATTTTATCTATCATTATTTACAGATTAAATTTACATGTCAGAATTTACAATAAAACATCGACTGTATATTTAAAATCCAACATTACCGAAAGGTTAAAATCGTGATAATTATCAACATGTGAGAGCAAGTGTGTTCTAACGATGAATGTATAGATTTAATTTTATTATTTTATATAATGGGTGTGTATAGTAGGTGTATGAATGCACATGTTTTTTTTTTATTTTCCTGTTAACGATTATACCATATTTGAATATCAGTTAAAACAAATACAAGAGAGCTATTTTTAGAAATATAAATTGTAAAGAATTAATTTTTATACAATATATATATCTTAATAGCACAATAATTATCAACATGTAAATACTCTGACGATGAATATATAGATTTAATTTTATTTTATATTTTATACAGTGGATGTATGGTATATGTGTATGAGTGCGCGCGTTATTTTCCAATAACGATTATATGATATCTAATAATTCACGCAGTCTTATATTATAACGATAGCAAAGTATCATAACAGTAACAGACGAACAAAAAACTGAATAATTTAACTGACTAATTGAATTGATCGATTAAGTGAAAATAATAACTTTGTCAAGTCATCATTATTTAACAATTCTTTGAATATTGATCGATGCCTATCTACCTATCCGTTTTATTGGACATTCTCTCTTCTTGAAATATGTCGAATTTTTGCGAGCGTGTTTTACGTTTAACATGACGTGGATTTTTTAATGAAAGACGGAAAAGAGCAGCGAGGACGATGGCGCATTATCGTCCAAAAGTCGACGCGACAGTCATACAGTGTCGTTACCGAAAATCCTGGCGACGTCGCTCACAATAAGCCGCTTACCCAGTGTACTCCTATCCTCTTTTGCAGCCCGTCTACCCTCCGGGCTATGGAGTTTCTCGTAGCCACGGTTGTCAATATTAAACCGAGCCACGTTTCGTATGCCAATGGTGATAATAGTTACAAGGACTATTGTGACCTTGGCGACATCGTTTAATTATTTAGCAGTCTTGACTCAGCATCTCTTGCCCCAAATCGCTGGATCGCCAAATAACATTGCACAGAGTTCGGAGATTATTCGTGTAAAGCAACAACTCTATATATATATATATATATATATATCTTCCTCTTTTATTTTATTTTATATTTTTACATTAAATAAAGGTGCATTATTATCGAAGGGTCTTGTTTATCTCGCGGTCGCATCAACGTGGGTTCCGGTCCTTGAAGCTTTATCGATAAGAGATTTTTCGGATTCGAAAGGAAGCGATGAGGACGTGCCTACGTGGCATTTTTCGTATTTACCGAGTCCTTTTGTGCACGCGAAGGGATAGCGTGGCGTGGCGTGGCGTGATGAAAGGCCCGGGCTGAACAAAAAGTACAAAAGCTATCTCGGAGTCGGAGCAATAGCCGTCGACTTTGCACCCTTTCCCCGCTATAAATGAGATTCGTTGTAGCCTCTCATCGAGTCCTCGCGAAAAAGCTCGTCTTTATTGTTGAAATAATGACAGTCGAAGAGAGAACCAGGCGCGTATCAGGAAGACGAGAGATCGGCACTTTTCGCGCGCATCTTAATTCCGCCAAATTCACTCCGTCCGCCGACGATGACAGACGACGGTAACAAATCAAGAGGAACGATCGGGACGAGATGTGCACGAGACCTACTTTTGCCGAGAGTTGAATTTTCGCCGCGCGCGCGTGGGTGAAAGCGTGACGACAATCGTTTACGAAACTTATCGGAAGCACAATCAGTGGATCGGCAGCGATAACAAGATTGGCAGCAAGGAGAAGATTTGCCTGAACGTGAAAGGCCGCGTCTTTGCGAGGCGTTTTCCACGAGGATGTTTGAAAGAGCGAGAGGAAGAGAGGACGAGAGAGAGAGAGAGAGCGCCCGTGCGCAACATCGCCGAATATGGATTTAATGCGGCACGATGGAAATCGAATTATGTCATTAGAAGCCACAAAGGAGACACTCGCGTGGAAACCTTTGCAAAAGCTTCCCGTAAGCCAAATGCCTGACCCGAATACACCACGGGTCTTCCACCGACCGGCTTGTTCAATCGCTCTGTCGGATTTTTTTATGGTTTCTGCCGTAGATCGACGCAACTCAATTGCGTCTAGAAGTATCCCCTTTTTTGACAATTCAATCGATTCGTTTTGATTAAGGAATGTTCTGATTAGGAATATAACCAAAAGAGTTTATTTTCTTTAATTAACAGCAACATCCGCAAAGAAATGTTATTTCCATCAAAACGACTATTAATCGATCGTTGATTGCGTAACTTTTTCTTGACACTTAATCTGTTTTCGTAATTAAAGTCTCAAAGGCTCGCGAATAACGCTTGAAAATCGTACGACCTCATTTATTCGACGCTGCCGGTTCCCATAAATTTTCGTTAAAGTTAATTGAGATTTAATCAATCCTCTATCCCCCCCGTCCTAGTTCTATTTTCAGGCAGAAACGGCAAATCTGTTGAATTATGATTAACGTTAATTAATATTTACGAGAATAGTCGAAAACAATATTCCACAGTTCGATCGTATACGAGAGAACAATAGAATCTTCTTTCATATTTGACTAAAGTTATGCGGAACTATGCTGTAATCGCATACACACGCACACGCATGCACACATGCAGACGATGTTGGTTTGCTGTTTGCTCGCCCTATAAGCTCCGACACTTTGGAAAATGTTCGTTATACGTGTGCCCTGAATCGACTGATCAGATTCCGATAGACTTTGTACTAAATATCTAATATCCGGCGAAGCCAAGGCACGAGATTTACGGTATATTCTCGTGTCCTAACTCCACTGGCCGCCGTTATACATATATATATGTGTGTGTGTGTATATCTATCCCATTCGTCGATAAGTTGTGTCGTTTCATAATGCACGTGCGACGTACTAAACATGACGCCTGACGTCACAATGTGCCGAAAGCACTCTATTGCAACTGCCTGCAACTTTTTAATCTCGAGAGAAGCAATAAAGTATCGAGCTTCGGGAGCACGAGCATTTACGACGCGGCAATAATTCAAGGGGTATTCCGCGCGAAAAGTTAGCGAGGCGATCGCCGCTCGAAGGATTTTGTCCGAGAGGGATGTTTAATTTAATAAATAACGAAGGCGAACGATATTTTCTTGCCGTTGCGCGCGTCTCCGATTGCCAGGAAAGATTAAACGTGCCGGATTCCCGGTGCCGCTACCGTTGTATTTTGCAGACCGTTGTCTACCCCTACGGCGTATTGATCTCTTGGGGGATGATTTTTAAGATGAGTTTCGCGCCAAGTGCCACAGATGGCATCACTTTGCAGTCGTCGAGTTCATAGAAACCTTTCAATTTATTATGCGCCGTTGACTCGAAATACTGCGCTTCGTGTAAATATCGCGAATAAATATTCCTGGATCAGTTGTCTGCAATTAGCAATGGATAGCAACATTTTCCTCGACACGTTTTATATATATATTTGTACTCTGTATAAATATTTAGTATGGATGCACTGTTTATTTGCATCCATAATTACGGTGGAACGTCAAATGATAGTTGAGAGAGGGGAAAATAATCCCAAATTATTTTACATCAGAAAATAAAAATAGCGTGCCCCGAAAAAAAAAAATGAAGTATTTATCTTGTATAAAGCCTTTCCTAGTAGTTAGCTCGCAGCAAGTTCGTATTAACTTGGTATTTATATGCCATAATAATTAATAAGAGACAGACATAAATAACGGAACTTTCTAGTACAACGTAAACTTCTGAAAGCTCACTTTGCGGGAAGGCGTTTTTATTATCTCCTCGCGTAGCACGATATTACGAAGTTTGGAGGAAAGGTCCTTACTGTAGGTCGTGCGATAAAAATATGGAAACCATCGCGTAGTCATCTCGATTACGGTTTTCTGCTCCGATTTCTGTTTCACGAACCGGCAAGAATGATTGTCGCGCGTATTTATTTGAATTGACAATGTTATATATTAAGACACAGATTTTCGTCGTATCTACATAGGATCGCAGCTGTCGAGCTCGTCGAGATTATAACAATTTCACGATCTTCCGGAGAAAAAACCGTCAATAAAAGATTACGCAGCTTTTTCTTTTATTATGCGACACGGTGAAGATGTGAATGAACATTATCGCATTTCCGACGGCAGAAAGGGTTCAACGTCACGTGCGTAGCGAGGACTATTCCCGAACGATACATTTATCCCGATCGCGAACATTTGACGATTATGTCGCGTACACGCCGCCGAGGTTATTGACCAGGAAGTCGGCTTCGTCAGGGAGGATGAGGGTGGAAAGGCGGTGTCGACGACGACGACGACGACGACGACGGCAGCGGCGGTGGCGGCGGCGGGTTCGAATGAGGGAGGTGTAGAGGTAGCCTGAACCGAGTTCGCCTGCTATTCTCTCAGAAGGGGTAGGAGAGTATTACAGATCTGCAATACAGTCGCCGTTCCCTTTTGCATGGCTGTTCGTTGCGCGGCTGTGTATTATACGTGTGCGTGCGTGTTTGTGTGCGTTTACGTGTATTTGCCTCCTCCTTGGAAGGAGGCATACCGTCAAGGGGGAATGGAAACGTTTTGTTGCCGTGGAAGGATGAGTGGAGGTGGCGGGGAGGAGGAGGAGGAGGAGGAGGAGAAAGCGGTTGCGAGAGAGGGTGCTGTCGGTGGTTGTGTGGGCCGCAGGGTGGTACGGAATCAGACAG